TCTTTGCGATCTTTGATTGTTTCATCTTTCATTTACTATTTGCATTCACATTTATTGGTTTGAGTGAGCTGAGTCCTCTTCTGTTATCAGATGATTTAAGGATGCAAGGGTAAGGGAGGGAAGAAGAGTCAAGGGAAGGGAGGGCAGGGAGGCGAGGGGGATAATGGAATGGGAATAATGGTCGTTTCGTTTGATATCAATATCAATAAAGGTGTTTTAATAGCATTAAAATGCATTTCATTCTATATATTCTGTTTGTAGCTTCTGAATCGCAAGGCCGATGTTGTTCTTAAGAGGTTTGAAATTGAAGATACCAAGGTTGTCTTGTACTTTGATGAGGTAAAATGACCAAACCCAATTTAAATTTCTATACACGTTGATTTTATTCACGATATTCACGACTTTCCTGCATACTCAGGTCCAGTGACAACGCAAAAAGCATTGAACCGAGGCGGTCAAGGTAAAGTGAGCATAAAAGAAAAGATCTGTGCGCAGTGTTCCTTGACGCCTTGCTTCAATGCTTTATTTGTGGTCACTGGACCTGATCGAGCATGGAAAGTCGTGAATAATTGTAAGAAACGGTATGTTGTCATTATTTTGAACAAAAAGTTTTACAAGAGTCCGTCAAAATTAAGGGTACCGTCTCTTTCGCTTGTTTTCCTTGTTTTCTTGCAATAAAAACTATAGATCAAGATGTTGTCTTTTTGACTAGATAAAAGATGTTTGTGTGACATTTGGAATCGACCAAACTTCAGTTGTGACGAGCATGARGCCTGCAACTGTGACTGTATACGACTATTACGACCCAGGTAAGGACCTTATACTTTGACTATGTATCCACTAAATGGGGGCGGATTTTACTTAAGGGTGACATATAATGAGGAAATTGAGGAGACCAAACAATTGTGACATAAACGAATTCTTCGTAGAAGAACATATCTCAGCGTTAAAGGCCACGCACAGCCAAGGAACTTCGATCGTTTTTTGTTTTTTTTTTGATAATTTCCTGTTGAAAGGAGCTTTCTGATTGGTTCAAAATCAAAGATGGCAATGGCTCGCAAAGGCTCTCGGATGTACGTGAACCTTCAAATCAAAAAAGGATAATTCGAGTTCTCTTTTTCTATAACTTCTTATCAATGGATATAGGGGGAGGTTATTTTCATAAAAAAACAGGACSTTTGCTGAAAATGATCGAACAGTTCATACGTTCAAATATTTCTATTCCAAGAATGCTGCACTAAAATATCATTTTAGAACCATAACAATGCTTCCAGAAGATGAATAAACATCTAGAATTCAAAAACCTGAAATTTTCAATGAGTCGATCCTAATAGATGCTTACGCCGTAAGCCGGAAGAATTAAAAACAATTGAAAACAAAGGAATGGAAACGAGGCCCAAGGGCCCTGGAGAAGTTAAAATGGCAAATATCAAGGGATTCCAGAAACCTGAATTCAAGAAAAATTGCTTGTCTGTAGGAAAAGGACATTTTCTTGCTTCTTGTTTAATTCATTAAGAATATTTTTCAATGCCTAAGTTACTTCCGGTTTATGTCGTAAGCATGTATCATCTAGAGTTGGAGTAATTCCGCAGTCCCTCTCTTTGTACCACTGCGCTGAATTGAAAACTGGCGGCCTTTTTTTCAAATACCAAAAGAACTGAAATTAATATAGCAGAAGCCTTCCATATGTGAAAAAAAATTATTCGATTTGGTTAATATAATCAGTATTCGACATCAATTCTTATGATTACTACTAATTTTTGATTCTTTTAATTTTCAGATAAGTCAGCTTCTTCACAGTACACCATAACAAGCGATCTTTGTACAACACAGCCAGACGCTTAGCCTCATTGGCCCCAAGCCCTCGGCAGATATAGATGGCCATTATATTAGAGTTAGATCTATCGCTACTTACTCTGATTGAATCAGAGGCTTATTTTATCAGACCCAAATAGACGGAACAACTTTTGCTTACAACCATCGCA